TGAGGAAAATAAAAGGTTCCGAGAAATGAAGAAAAATCTCGTTAATTTTTTGGAAACCTTTTATTTTCCTCAGAGACAAAAAGAAAGATCGAAAATCGGGTTCTGTTATGCCCTAGAAAAATGTGTTAGCTACATTTTAAGACTAACCTGAGATTTGTAGTACATAAAATAGCGGAGAAATCTTGGAATTACGCAATATTACAAGGCAAAAATCGATGTAGAGAAATGAAAGAAAAGGCGAAAAGCAGAGTTTAAGGTGCTCTTAGAAAAATGCTCATGACTTGTGATGGTGATATCGCACAAAGCTCAGCAACGTCTCATTTTGAAGAGAACACTTTTCTCTATATGAAAAGGTGTTTAAAAAGATTTTGGTGGTCAGCATACACGTGGACAAGTTTTGAAAAGTAAATAATGATGAGTTCGAATCTCCAGTGGTCAATCTTAAAAAATCCATAACTTTTGAAAGAAGAGCTATACGACCAAATTCTTTGGAGGTTAAAACGAATAAAACCTTTCATAAAAAAATTTCATATTTCTGGACACCTATTCCTTGACTTTGCACGATACATTCTGTGAATAGATTGTTGAACATTTCGAGAGAGCTAGTACGAATAACGTCTGAAAGAAAAATGAGATTGTGAGATTTAACTATGATTGTAATGTTATTTATTTATATGCATGAAAGCAAAACAAAAGAGTAATCGAAAGCAGAGAGAAAATTTGAATGAAGATCTTACACAATCTTAGAAAGATTATTTTAAGATGTGCTTAAAATTTTTATAATAATTTAATCTGGATTACAGCCATGCACCAGTTTTACAAATACGTTTGAAAAAAGCTAAATTTAGAGATGATTACGATAAATTTATTTCCTACATTTGTTTGTCTTGTATAATTGTTCAAAGTAATAAAACGTGTAAAAATTATTTTTAGTTACTATTTCATTTTTTTTTGATTTTTTTAATTGTATAAATTCATTTGTCCTCATTAAGAGTTCGGTTCAAGGATCAAACGTCTTTTATTTCGGCTTTTCTCGAATTTCCATTTAATTGTGATGAAATAAATTTGCTTCACTTATATTATTTAAAATGTCGGTTTATTTTCTTTGAGACAAAGTTTGTTGAAATAAAATGTCATTGTTGTTCTCGTTCAGTTAATGCATGAGTTACACGTCACACACGTTTAATAAAAAGACATTTCAAAAAAAGTGCTGCGACATGTATATTTCTGTATTTCAGTTGTTTTTCCATCCATTCAAATCAAATACAAAAATGATCCACAAAATAATTACATAATGTCAAATAAAGATAACTAGATGATACATTAACAAACAAAAAAATAGTATGGATAAATTAACTTACCCCCAACCTCATAGTCAGATAGATAGAAAAATATACGAAAGTTTTTTCTATTTTTTGGTCTAATCTTATTCTACAATCGCCAATTTCTTTTTTCTAAACCATTGTTATAATCCCATGTATCATCACCATCATCTTGACTAATTCCTTGATGTTGAGCATCGCGAAATACAAATCGGCCACGTTTTTCTAAACGAGCCATAAATGATGGATCTAATAAGAAACGTTGATTATCATCTAAAGCAGCAGCATGAGCATCCCGACGTAAACGTATTTGTTCACCATTACCATTTATATTTAAACCATATAATTGTGGAATTACTAATAAAAGATTCATGCTTAGAATAACTGCAAATGATACTGTGAATGTATTCATTATTTTTAAATTTATAAAAAAATTATTTTTATCTAAAAAATAAATAAGAGAAGATCATCGCTTGCTCATGCGTCACGTCAGTATTCACTAAAATGATATCTTCTAAAAAGAAAAATAGAACCTTTTTGACAATAAAAATTTTAGTTCATTTATGAAAACAGATCATTGTCAATAATCTTTCTACGGCCCATATATCATTGAGCGATCATAAAAATCCCTTGACTCTTGTTTTCTTTTTTTAACAGCAACAAAAAAAAAAAGGAGAAAAAACTAAAATGAAGAAAAATCGACTTTTCTCCAGAGAACAATATACTCTGCGGTGCACACAATGACAAAAATTTATAAATAATAAATCTACATTCTGTTGTGATGATAATAATCTTCAACATAGAAAAAAACCCACTTAAACAGATCAAAGAATACTGTTCTTAAACATAAAAATCTTTCATTAAGAAGATGAAATCGTCTAAGAGAATGAATACAAACGCGATAAGAATGTCAAAAACAGACGTATAGTTTGATGATTATCATTGAATTCTTTAGAGAAAAAATTAGTGCTTTGACACCTTAGATGTTCCAGTTATTATAGTTAGTTTTACTAATGAAATTTTAGTGAACAGTAACTTTATCATTTCTTCTATGTCGTTGAAAAGAGCGACTTTTATATTATTCATGAACATACAGTAGTAAAAATATTCTTCTCTACAATCTTTCTGTTCTACTTTGCAACACATACAACACCGTTTATAACACTTACCATAGATTGTTTACATGATTAAAAAAAAATTAAATTAAATTAGTTCAATATTTTTATACATCTTGACTTTTTTTGGATCTACAAATGATCCGATCGATATATATTTCATGAACGTGTGCATATAGCATGGACAAACGTACAATTGAAAGTTTATAGAGTTTATAAAATAGAAATTTAGAACAAGATTTTAGAAGAGTATGTCCACATTTTATCTCTTAGATTAGAGATAATCAAAAAGTACACAGTTAATTGAAAAAAATAGGTAAAAAAAATACGAAGCAAAATCAAAGAATAATTAGCATTTTGATTAATTTGTAATTTTTTTCCAAAAAAATATTTCATGTGTTAATGAATTTTTATGAAATAAAATAAATCTTTTACGTTTTGAATCAACCTAAATTACTACTTTTTTTTACTTATCTTACTATTAAAATATGAAACGAGAAAATGAGAGTCACAATGATATTGTATGGTCAATCAATTCTAGACAGAAATTTTATTTGATAAATGTTCAAAAACTGTTGATATGTATATATTATTAAAATGAATCATCAAATTTCACAAATTACATTCATCATTAATAAATTAACAGTTCTTTTACTTTAGAAATGAAGAAATTTACACAGCAATGCACTTTTCTCTTCATTAATTCTATACAATCTATCTAGTCTGCCAGAACATCGTTAAAAGCAATATTATACACTAAAAATATAGTCATACCTATCATACATATACATTTTACTTAAATGATAAAAATTTTTATTCTAGAAGCGAAGATCAAACTTTTTTCTCTGATCTACAAGTGTTAAATGTTTATGGAAAGGTGATTCTATTGAATTTCTATCGAACTTACGTATAATATTCAATAACTTTTTTGTTTTTCATAATCATTCAAATCTGATTGTTTATCGTCTTCTTTTTGAACAATACTTCAACATAGAATCTTAACAGAAAATAGAATATAGTAGGCTAAAAAAATAGATTTAAAAATAATTGTTTTGATTAGTGCCTGAATAGTTAAATTGACATGCTACTAAAACGAAAAAACACGCTCGATAAAAAAATTAGTTATAAAAACGTAAAATATTTATTGACTAATAATTTTAATGGAAAAAATAGGCATTAATTCAAACATCAACATCCATTTGGTAAATAATCATGCTTAGAAATCATTTATATCAAAAAGAAGACTCCAGTTTGATTGAGGCCAAACTAAATTTTGACAAATCCTTAGACATAAGAAGATTATTTGAAAAAATTGACAACAGATGAAATATATAAACGTTTTGACTAATTAACTAACTCAAGATGATGAATAAATCTTCCATGCAACAGTGATGGGTGTAGTAAAAGATAGGATGCCTTCTCTAACTAACTCAAGATGATGAATAAATCTTCCATGCAACAGTGATGGGTATAGTGAAAGACAGGATGCCTTCTCATGCAACTTTTGACCATTATATTTATGAAATGAAATTTTTCGAGAGGACACAGGTTCTTACGTTAAATAAAATAACGCTCTCCGTCTCTTAGATTTTGTATTTCAGTTGTCATTAACATTAAAATTATTCAAGTTTTCCTGTGTACATTTCTATCTTTTAGCACGAAGAACGGAAGTAAATTGTACTTGAATAATAGAAAACTTACTTTCTTATAAGACAAAATTCTGATGATAAACGTGTATTAAGAAGAATGCTTAACTGAGAATTTGACTTACGAATTCTATAAGTTAATAATGGTGAGTATTGTCTAATGATATGAAAAACAAATGAGAAATGTTTTTTCTTTTATATAACACGGTAGAGACAGGTTACTTAAAAAGAAAAAGAAAAGGCATTTTCACGTCTAACCGGAAATCGACTTTTTTTTTGTTATTCATAAGTTACCATTGATAAAGCTTCCATTTTATCTAATAATAATAAAAAAAAGGGTGTGCGTAAATCGACTAGCTAATTATTCCGGAAATATCAAGTAACAATAGACAAAATTATATCATTATAATCAATTAATGTGATCTAAAATATATTTCTATTAAAATACAAATTAGACGAGTTAGACAACAGCCTATCATGAAAACCGGACTTAATCTTTCATAAATGAGAGATACCAAATGCCACATCTAAAATGGCAGATGAAAGTCAAATGAAATTAAGGTATTTATTTTCAACTCCACCTACGCATAAAAAGAGGTTTAGAAAATACTGCTGCATACTGTTTACTACTATTATTTACTATTACTACGCCTCAAGAAATAACTATGAGAAATTTAATTAATACTAAACAAATTACGTTTGATTTTCAATAACCACGAGATATTTGATTTGAATAGTTAAACTGTATACAGTACTCCACAAAAGTAGCGATTCCTCTGTAACTCAAGAACCATGATAACTAGTGACTTCTAATTTTTTTGTGTGGTCATAGCTCACATAGAATGCTGATCATCTAGCAAGTTTAAACCACTTCTACTGCGAACCCCAGCAAAAAACTCACATATGAAAGAATATCTTTAAAAATTTCTGAAGTTTACTTCTCGAAATGATAAACTCAATAAACTCTGAGGTTTTTCGCAGTTGATAATTTGGATAGCCATCTATGTCTAGGCAGTTCCGCATCTACATGGTATGAGTTTGTCGTAGGATGATTTGTTTTATGTGAGTTTTTCAGATATTTCTTTGTTCTGTTCAGTGGTACAAAAGTCCTGCCACTCGACTCTTTTCGTTGCTTAATATCTCTCTTATTGTGTACACATAAAATATATTTTCGTATGTTAAAAAATCGTGTTCCCTCTTTTTTGCTCAGGTTTTATGTAGCTTTTCTCATTATCGTAAATAAGTTTTTGTTCGTTCGAAAGAATCGAGCTGTAACAAACACCTTTGGTTCATTTGTGAAGTGAAAAGATAAAAAAAGTTCAACAGTGGAAGACGGCATCATCCAACTCTCTAGTGCATACCTGTTTAATGCGAAAACACAAAGTTTACAGTTTGACCTGATAGTAGTTGTACCAAAACGATCAATCCCGAAAAATCTCATGGATTTATTGAGTTTATCATTTAAAGAATTAAACTTCTTTTAAATTTTTGAATATGTAGATTTCTTTCATATGTGGATTTTTGTAAACGAAGCACTAAAGTTAAGTATCTATAACGGATGGTTTTTATTCGACTTTTAAAGATAACTTGTCGAAATAATATCACTCAACTAAAACCTATCCCATGTATGACCTACAATATTACAATTTGTTTATTCAAGTAAAAATGATAGATATATTTGTTTAAACAGCATGAACGATATTTTTTTCTATATTATCGCATAGTCAGAATTTAAAGCTTTTAAAATTAATAACGATACATTTATTATGTCTAGCTACGTGATCAGTGTATCTACTACGCTTGTTTTAATTAATTCCTTACCCCGAAAATTTTAGTTTGCTCACGGTGCATCCTCATTATTTATTAAATCGTTGTTTGACCATTAAATTATCCTTGTGGTACATTTCTATTTGGAAAAGATCAAAGCTTTTGAATAATCTATTTTTAAAATGTTCTTTACTAATCAAACATCAAAGTATGCAGAAGTTGAATTAAAAATATGTTCCTTTTTACCATACTTTTCACAAGTAGATAATATAGTTAATATAAATGCTTCAATATTCATTAAAGAACTAGCGGTGAATGTTTAGAAATAGTATTCTACTTTTTCTTCTTCATTTGAATGTATGTGTTGTAGCTGTGGCTTGATTGTAAAACAAAAAGCTTATCATCATACATTTTGAAGACTAGATATGAAATTCCAAGGTGTATACCACGTTCGTATACCATTCGTTTATGAAATTGATAATATTATTTAAGGTACAAAGTTCGTGTCACAGATAGTGGATGGCTCGCTGAAAAGTTACCATATTGAGTACACGTTATTGCATCTGAAAGAGAGAGGTTAAAATATCTCTGATTAATATTAAACCGACTGAGAGGCAAAAAATTGAGGTATAATCGATATTGCAAAAACAACTAATTTAAGTTCTATTTTTTATTTTATTTATCCTGATATTTCAACGACATAATTTTGTCATTTTCAATAAAATTAAAATTTGCATTGAAAATTAGAAATACGATATTCCTTATATATGCAGATATATGTACCAGATAGAATTGCACAATTATCTGGTTTATGAAAGAAGAAAGAGGGGAGATAGAATAGAGATGAAATAGGAGTAAAAATACTGTTGTCTAGAAGTGAAAAAAAGAGGTAAGGTGCCGGAAAAGCGAAAATTCACAAGGTTTTATTTTTACATTTTTTATATATGGTTGGATAGAGTGCGTCGATCTGGAGAAGGACATATGTGTTTTAATGTTTGAAAAAATTATTTTCAGCACACATATTTTATAAATGTTCATGAATAATTTTGTAAAACGCTTTAGTTCTTTTTGTGAAGAGATGAAGCCAAGATTGTTACTTCATTAGACCCGCCATTAAACGAGCCTTAAAAGTATAAACCGCCTTTTTTTCATTTTACTTCGTCACTGAGAAAATTCATTTTGCTCTAAGGAGCGAGATAATCGGAATTTTGCTTGTAATTCTCAATTTATGGAGAAAACATTAAAACACATATTTTCTTCTCCAGATCGACGCGCTCTATCCAACCATGCATAAAAACTGCAAAAATAAAACCTGACAGATTTTGGATCTTTTCAGCACCTTAAAAATATTATGCACTTTGTAATGTGTAGTGTAAGTCGAAAATATGAAAATTTTTTGTGAGGAACGAAGAATAGAATAACTTTTTAGTAAATAAATCGTCGATAAATTTTATTAAAAATTGTGATGATTCTTAGTGGTATCTTAATAGATTCTTATTCAATCTTAAGCCCAATGTCAGGAGCCTAATTTTGTCTCAGAACATCCGATCTTGATAAAATTTTCGTAGAATGTGTATTTTACGCTTACACTAAAGTTTTGAGTCAAGTTTGACTCAAAATATTGAGTTTTTTCAGAGTTATTTTAGAAATAAGAGTCAAAAAGTAGATGACGTGCGACAAAGATTTCTCCAATTCAATTGATACAGACTTTGGGATGATATTAAAACGAAGCCCAAACTTTGGTCTAAAATTTAACTGGAACAAATTTTCGATATTTTTCTGTTTATTTTTCCCAAAGGGTTTTATCAAACAGCTTGGAAAAGGTTTCGGCTAACTTTTCAGAAAACTTGATTTTTCTCAAAAATCAATTTAAATTCAAAAATTCGGTTGTTTTAAGTTAGAGCGCCAAGTCTTGGCTCATTTTAAAATCTTACCGAGCTTTTCTACACTTAACCAGACTAAGAAACCTTTGTCACGGTATTCGTCATCCATAGATAAGTCGCTTTTGACATATGATGGCGTCGGCGTGTGATACCGATACGAGGGTTCGTAGTAAAACCAACATAATTTTTGATTAAAGACTTGCTCAGAACTGAAAAATGTCTCTCATTTTAACAATAAATATTTGCTCTATAAATCAATGTCATAATATGTTTTTTAATTCTGGCATTTTATTAAAATATTAGAATTTCAAAATAGTCGGCATTTTTGGCCTTTTAGAAAACTTCTTCAAAACCTTCACAACTCTTTAATATTGATAACAAATTGAACTCTTTCCTCATAATTCGACACTACCTTTGTCTTTAATTAAGTGTAAAGTTAAATTGTAATTGCTCTGCGCAAAAGTTGCGATGTCGACAGAATCTGTCTCTGACTGAACCTACTGCTCCAAGTAGATCCTATCGGTAGGCTCTGAGCATTACATTTTTGCTTTGATTTACTCTTTTGAACTGCTTATAAGATAAAAGAACAACGAAGGAAATTTGAAAAAGCGAGACTCTGCCTAAATGGTGCCGGACAAAATTAAAACAATAATAATCTAAGTCCAGCAGCCATTTTTTTTCCCGCTTATGGAGCTTACACAGCCGAGTTTGGATTTTTAATTGAGTAAAGAACATGCAATGGTCAATTTTCAGTTTTCGTAGAACACTGTCCCTTTTTCAAACCTTCTCTACGATGAGTAGTTTGCTGGATCATAGCGTTCTCTTTTCACAAAAAAAGGTCGTAAAGAAAAAAGAAAATACCCAGTTTCAATAACAACAATTTGATCCAAGCGCAAAATTTGCAAGCTCTGTGTGAACGTCACTTCCAGACGCCTCAAGCTGCTCGTTTCTTCGTGATTGAAAGAAACATTTTTCATACAGCATCATCAACAATTACAAGGATTTTTTCTAATCCTAACACACTAGTGCATGTCATGTATACTGACTGTTATTTAAGGATTTAGCGATTGATACTGTGAGTATCCACACAATATGTTTAACTGTAAAACAAGTTTTATTGCTAAATAAAACTTTCTGGTGATCAAAACAACGTAACGTGGCCATCAATAAATAGAAAAATGAGTTTAAAGCATAAAAATCATCATTTAAAAAAAACAGTTGAACAGATTTCACCCAAAAACTAATAGCAGAATGCGTCTTTGCGGTTATTTTGTTAACTGGCATTGTATTAAGGCTCTCTCTGTCAGCAACGTATCTCGGTAACTATAAGTCCGATCTTCACAAAAAGTTTCAGGGGATGACAATCCTCCAATTCTACACTTTTGATAAAGTTCTAAGACGTCATCTATCATTATGTTGGAGATGTTACTCAATTAGGGGTCAAAATGGGACTGTTCGTAGCTGCAAGATTTCGCAATAACGAAACGTCGTGGAAAGTTCGAGACGATCTTAAAATATTTTACTTTTTTAATTTTAAAAAGTAAAAGTTTCCCAAAGAAAAAAATTACTGACGGAGAAAATAGATAGAAATTAAAAATCAGCTCTATAGCGTTCAGTTAAAAATGTTAGCTTCAATTAGAGACGAGCCTGAGCTCTCGATCACTTAATTTAACATAGAAATTCGCGTAGTGTAGAGTTCGAAGATTCACTTAGACTTTTAGTTTCCCTCAGACTATTAGACTTTTAGACTAGGTATTCTCTAAATGAGCAGATCGATGTTCATTTATCATCAAAACATCCTTTACTATTTGTGTCCATTCCTAAACCACAGAAAATAAACAAAAATTTATAATTTTGTCTGACTGTAACATGGTCTGAGCGAAAAAGAAATATGGAGAAACATTTTTGTAAAGTTGGTGGGTGTGGATTCACAAAAACAAAATACTTCTATGAAAACAACAGAAATTAAGCCCTACATTAAAACTCACAGCTAAAAATAAATGATCATCTGTTTCAATATCAAATTTACTGTCATAAATATTACGGCTACATTTCCAACGATCACGTAATGCAACGTTTGTTTTAAAATACTGTGATAGGATTTTGCGCAGTATCAATAGTATATCTTACCACCGGTCTGTACTGCATTTTGCACATGACGAACACCGGTTTATCACATTAGCCGCTTCAAAACTCTTTTGAATAAATTCATCAAATAAATACTTCGAAATAAAGAAATCTCATTCTTGGCAAGCGAAAGAACAATTACGTGTTTCAAATCTATCAAAAATTTGATAATCCTTCTTTTTCGCGAATTGAACGCTCGTATTATTGAAAACTTCACGTTGGAAAGGGTACATCATAATACATATTTGCTTTATGGACATCCAGAAAAACAAACCTCACATAGTGTATAGAATAAGGTTCAACTGAGAACACATTTATGCAAAGTGTACGTGCATTTCGGAATGCCAACAGCATTTTGATTAGTGCCAGTTCGGTGGGGTGTCAATAGCTCCTTGTTGCCACCTCGAGGATGTCAATAGATCTGCCCTTTTCTCCGTTAGTTTTGGTCGCACAGCGAAAACTTTTTTTCTTATAACCCCTCAAAAAAATTATCGCTAGGCAAAGCTTTAAAAATTTTTTACACCCCCCCATCAAAGTTGAATTCCTATTTACGGTCCTGCAGGACCGTAAATATGAATTTGGCATGCCAGCGGGAAACAACCGCGTCTTATCTTTCTTTTTTTCACAGCACTGTTCGTCCGATTAATTTTCATACGCAGATGAAAAGTAACAAGTTGACCAATAAAATTAGATATGATTGCCTCAGAATTGGTTATAATACAACTTAATTCACAACTAATATAGCAGTTCCGCATAAACTGCTGTAACAAAAGGAACTCGAAAGTTAAAAATTCACTTCTGTGCATCTTATTCAACATGAGTTAGTATATTCCTGTATTCAATATGGATTGGTTGCCTACGATTTTTGCTGATCTTTCTCAATTCTTTTCCTTTTTTCGAGAAAAGTCATCGCTAACGTCAACCTTTTCAATAAATACAAAAAGAAAATAATGTACATTACATGATAGTTGTTTTTTATATGTGCTCCTCTTTTCTTTAGTGTACATATACAGGATTATTCCTATCACTTCTCTTTTGATTGATGAACAGGTATCAACGAAAATAGTTTGATCTGTCCGTTCAAGGTTGTTTATTCGATTTACTGTCATGCATGATGAAACGAGACAAACTGCAGATCTCTATACTAAAGTTAAAGCTTAACATTATATGACGACAACTCGTTGTTCCGTTTGAAATTAAAATAGAAAAACATGATTTGACTGAATTTCCATTGAGTTCTTCTCTTTTGATTAGTAACAAAGAACCTTTACCTTTCTTTCAAAAACGGTAGATTAAACTAAATTACTTATCTGTTTATGTCTTCATTTTAGTTATCTTATTTCTTTCGCTTCTCTTCACATCTCTTTGTAAAACACTTTCTCGAAAATCTGTATTAACACTTATTAAACAACGATGGTTAAAGACACAAAGTACTACGATATATTGGGTGTAAAGCCAAATGCCAGTGCTGATGATATTAAAAAAGCTTACCGAAAACTCGGTTTGTATTTTACTAAAAAAAGTGTTCTCAAAATATCACTAACATTTTCTTTTTTTATCGCGTTTAGCTTTGAAACTTCATCCTGACAAAAATCCTGATAATGATCCAGAACAGGTAAAACTTCAATAAAATATCTACAGTTTGTAAAGAGTTTCAACTGACTTTCACCTTTCATTGTTCCATAAAGTTACTTCTATCCTCATTGTCCAATAAACGTTTTGTCCATTTTCATTGTAGTTTAAACTACTTTCACAAGCGTATGAGACATTGGCGGATGATAAAAAACGTCAAATCTATGATCAAGGTGGTGAACAAGCACTGAAAGAAGGTGGCGTCGGAGCCGGCCACTTTAGTTCACCATTTGATTTATTTGATGCGTTTTTCGGTGGTAGTGGCGGACGTCGTTTTGGTGGCGGTGGTGAACAACGTGGAAAAAATCTTGTACATCAGTTAGCTGTATCCTTAGAAGAATTATATAATGGTGCAGTCAGAAAATTAGCATTACAAAAAAACGTTATTTGTGATAAGTGTGAAGGTTAGTAAAATATAATTCTACAGATAAACTGTTTAGAGAAATTTATTTCAATTATCTTAAAATTGTTTATCTGTGGAAATTTTTTTGCTATAATTTTACATATATTTTTCAGGACGTGGTGGAAAGAAAGGTGCCGTTCAAAAATGTTCAACGTGTCATGGTAGTGGTTATGTGATTCGTGTCAATCAATTAGCACCAGGAATGATTCAACAAATTCAATCTCATTGTTCTGAGTGCGATGGAAAAGGAGAAAAAATAAATCAAAAAGATAAATGTAAAACTTGTGATGGAAAAAAAATTGTGCGTGAAAGAAAAATTATTGAAGTACATATTGATAAAGGTATAATATCTCCATCTTCGATGTAGATTCGGTATTAAATTTAATGGTTTCTTTTACTTTTTTTCAAGGAATGGAAGATGGAAAGAAGATTACGTTCAGTGGAGAAGGAGATCAAGAGCCGGGTCTGGAACCGGGCGATATTGTTGTTGTATTAGATGAAAAAGAACATCCAGTATTTAAACGTGATAAAACCGATTTACATATGACAATGTCGATTACGTTGAGTGAAGCTCTGTGTGGCTTTCAAAAAGTGATAAATACACTCGATAGTAGAGTACTTGTTATCACGTCGCTCCCAGGTACGTCAGTTAAGCAGGATTTCTTAGCAGAGAAAGAAGAACGTCTACTGCATTTGAAATGCAGAACTTTGATAATAGCTTTGCTAGAGAATGCTCAAGATAGATTTAAACATGAACGTGATTTTCGTAGTAGATTAATTGTTCTTTTTCCTTTTTTGCTTAGGCGATATAATCAAACCTGGTGACATCAAATGTTTATTAAACGAAGGCATGCCGGTTTATCGTAATCCATTGGATAAAGGTCGCCTCGTATTGCATTTTGATGTAAAATTTCCTGAAAAAAATGAAATTAACAATAAAAATTTAGCAACGCTAGAAAGTTTATTACCACCTAGACCAGTTGTCAGAGCACCACCTGATGCTGAAGAATGTTCTCTAACTGAATTTGATCCAAGACAAAATCGAAATCGGCATGATGCATACGAGGAGGATGATCCAAGACAAGGTGGGCCAACACAAGTTAATTGTGCCACACATTAAGAAGACAAAGTATATTCCAACTGTGTTTTAAACCGAAAGAACGATTTTGTTTTTTCGATCTTTTTCTTTCTTTCGATTATGTGAATTTTTTCAGAGTTTTTTTCTCTCTTCCTCAAAGCCCTTTCAATGGAGTGGCAAAAGAAACAATCAGAAAAACGGAACACTCTTTTCCCAGATTGTTTTTGTTTTCATTCAGGTATAATTTTTTTTATTTGGAAACCGAAACGAACTTTTGCAATAACAATCAAAACTTCGTATTCGTCACAACTTTTTTTTCCATCATACGACTTATATGATTAGGTCTTTCGTTCTTTTTTTGTATTGTGATTGAGTCATACCATTGATGGCGATTATTGAAATATAAAAATGTGTACGTATGTATGTACGTGGAATCGAAACATGAACGAAAACGTTTTTCAATAAACAGTCTCTTGATGTATTCTGTTTTTCGGATTTTTACTAGATTGTACAGTAAGTCTTTCAAAAATGATATTTAACAAGAAAGATAACTAATTGCATTTTTTCTGTTGTTGAAATGATGAGAAACTCAGATATTATTGATGTTGTCTAACGAGAAGTTTCCAATGTATCTTATTTTATTGTCTAAGATTGTTAGATAAAAATAAAAGATAAATTGGTTTTTATTTTAGATGTCTACAAGTCAATTAATGTCTATATTTCCATCCGTATCTTCGAAATTTAAAATTCTCTTACATCCTCATTATTCCGTTAATATTCTGTTATCTGTCTCTTTTTTTATACTAAAACACATCCCCTATGTATGTTCAAAATTATTCGAAACATGCGAATTAACTTCTCAAGACATGCAAGTGTACATGTTATTAGCCACAATCATTACCATTCGAGGACGTAAAACTCTGACATGGTTACATTATGTTGATACTGTATGTAAATATTCAAAAGCAGCTAACGCTATTCTATTTTATCGCGAAAATTTAATTTTACTCATATTTTTTTGTCTACTCTGTATATTACATTTTCTTTTATTACAACAACCCGAATATCAAGGAAAAACAAATATTCAATATTATAGAGGAAATAATCTAGGTATGTAGGAGAACTTCGTATCAACTAGATAAATAGTTAAATTTAACATTTCTTTTGTCTATTGTTTGCCATTTATCCATTATTTCAAATATTTGTCATTGCCAAATCCAAGAGCTATATGCAAATAATTCAAGATAGTTTAATATTACAATTTATGTAATAACCGTGACCATTTCCTTTACAAAACATATATTAGCACAAATTAATAGTACAGAAGCAGCTATTGGAATATTCATAGTACTTATACCTACTGGTCTTTCATGTCTTTTTTTGAATTGGTTTTCGCAACTATTGCACTTTTTCGTTGCTTAATCGACACTTTCTTTTTATAATTTAGGTAATGATATTCGAGCTGATCCTCGTCTAACATGGTTTGTTTGTTTCTACACCGTTTGGGCTCCGCCATGCAATGACTTTTCACCCGTTTTTGTCGATTTATCACTACGTTTTGGTGATTTAAAATCATTTAAATTTGTTAAATTTGATATTGGCAAATATCCATTAGAAGCAGAAAAATATAAAATAGATATATCAACTTTAAGTAAACAACTACCAACCGTTATTCTATTTCAAAATGGTCAAGAAACAAAACGTCGACCACAAATCGATCCTCTTAATAGAAAAGTATTAGAAAAATGTTTATTAACATCGGATTATTTAATTAATGAATTTCAATTAGCTGAAGTATATCAAAACTGTAAACTAGCTGAACAAATGAAAAAGAAATAAACGGCGAATAACACAATCTAATAATGCTCATACGTTTTCCTATTGTAGTCATTGTAGTTTTGTATGCTCTTTCTTTTGTAGCGAAATAGATCTTGTAGTTGATAAATTACGGCATAATACATTGAATACATGATTTCTTTCATTTTTCTTGTATTAATAACTACAAAAAACGTTTATATTCTGCTTTTAATTAGTCAAGTATTATGCTGGATTTAACACTGTTTAGTATTTGTACAAAAGATAGCACTAAGACGCCTCTTTATATGTTTTTGTATATTAGAAATTATTTTCTCTAAAGTTTAACATCTATTATAACTTTTATAACATTGTTATCTTTCTTTTTGTTACTTTTCAGAAATATTCCCTATTTTGTTTTTCTGTTCAAAACTGGCATTGGAATTTTATAACATGCATCATCATATTCGAGAAGAAAATGCTGCACTGTTAACGGCTAATATGGATGAGGAAGGTGACGATGACAATTTGCATAATAACAATAATATCAGCGACAATAAAAATAATAACCAATTTAATGAGTTTCAAATTGTACAAAAACAACGACCAAAAACCTATCATAAATCAACTTCAAATCATCCAGTTCTACTTTTTCTTCTCATAATGTCTGGTTTTATACTCGGTTGTATAACAGGCATAACTGTTATGCTCTATCGAATTTCACAAGATGCTGAATCCACACAAATGAAACATTCGTCAGCCTCGTATCTTGATGTTGATAAAACAGTAAAAACAAAATTATTCGACATAATTAATGGTGATAGTATACTCAATTTTAGTCGGTAAGTTAAGCATTTTTGAGAATGAATAACGTTTAAAAGAGAATATTTTCGAGTATAAATTAAATGCCATTTTTGCTCAGATCGATTCCATTTCAAATATATTCTGCTGGTTCAACGATCGACAACGACTTTGCTGATCGTCTTTATCGTTATTGGCATGAGACAAATCATTCATCTGTATTTGACCGTTTTGAAAAACGTTCTTATGATATAAAATTGCCGTATTACACCAATGGACAAATGAATGGCTTAGAAATTTTAGGTAGTGATGAAAACAGACAAGAAAAATTTGACCAAATTAATGGGGCTATATCTGATTTAAGTTCGTCATTATGGTTAACAACAACGGGGAAAATAAAAACAAATTTAACCTATTTTGTTAATTACGGACGAGCCGAAGACTTTAATTATATATCTACCGCGAAAAGATTAAATTTACAAAATAGCCTTGTCTTCATTCGAAATGGTCTGATACCACGAACGGAGAAAATTAGACGAGCAATAAACTATTTTGTAGCCGGAATTGTATTATTTGATGATGATGATTTAACTTCATTCGATACGACAAAAGATTTTGAATCTGTATATGAAGAATTTTCAAGATATTATGCACACAACAGATCATCAGGTAAAGTATTAGATGGGAATAATCTACTATAGATGATATTCAGACAATTGTAAGTTCAGTTTTTATGTTTTTTTATCACTGGTATTGTTAAAGTCACTTAACTGAATACATCGCGTCTATTTTGAAAGATTCTTGATGAAAGTCGGTAACAAACCAGTGCGGCAGAATAAATGGTCTCAGTATTTTCTTAATATCTTTTTCAATTTTCATCATCCATACTTTGTCTTGTTTTTTAAGATTTCTCATTCAATTCTCTACACAAAACATATTGAACCATTTCTTTATATACTATAAGAATAAAAAATATAAAGAAAATACGGGAAAGCGTCAATCTTGATTACTTTCAAATCCAAAAAGTTTTAATCAGTTTAGTCCTTTATATTTTGCGATATAAAAAAAGAGAAACTGACCATTTTGTAGTTCTTGAAAAGCTCTATCAACTGGCTATATTTAAGACTCTTCATAGACACAAGTAAATGGGAGGCATTCTTTTTTCTTTTAGCGATTTTGCCCAAAATCACCATTTTCTAACTGTAGGTTTGAGATACTTAGAAAAATTTGTATGATTCGGTCAAAACCACACATTATGACGTCGGGTTTGGTTTATCTTAAAGCAAAATAATTCTTCTGTTATATCTGAACAGAGAAAGTCGAATAGTCTCATTTCATTTCCTGTGCCAAGACGAAGAAATCAAAATTTTCCTGTTGTTTTTCCTTTTTAGTAAAATTTTCGTTAGTGGTAGAAAGAAAGGTTTAAGCGAACTTATGATACAAGAAAAGAAAGATGAGATTACGGATCACCAGAAAATACATTTCGATTCCACTTTGATTCATAGCACCGTGTTCAAAATAAATATTTTTTGGTTGCGCTTTGGGTTTGAAAGTAATCGGGATTGAAGCCTCTATGTTCTTTTATTCTTATAGTACATAGAAGAAATGTTCAATATGCTTTGTGGAGAGAACTGAATGGGGAATTTTTTTAAAACAAAAGCAGAGTATGGATAATGAAAACTGGAAAAGATATTAAGAAAATACTAAGGCCACCATTTATTCTGCTGCACCCGTTACTTTTGAAACATCATCTGATTGTTCTTGCTTAGTTCGTGAATATTTGGACAATTATAATGAAAATCACATGGAAAAGAGTCGTATACCAGTGATCACATTATCAAAAACAGATGTGCAAAAAATTTTATCTACTGTTCAATCACCTCAATGGCAAGATTGTCCATCTGAATGGCAAAAACACTCACAAAATAACTCAAATGTGATACATTATAAATTGGGTGGTGAATTGAAGGATAAAAAATTGTTTCTTTTAACAACAAATGTTCAAGATGTTCAACTTCATGTGCCGTATGTAATTGGTATGATTAAAGGCACTATTGAAGCGGATCATTTTATAATCATTGGTATACAGCGAGATATTTGGCATAAACAAACAGGTCATTCAGGTAATCAGAATAAAGTAGAAACGCTATTGTCGTACACAAAACAATTAACTACTTTTTTAGGTCGAACAACGTATGGTATATTTAATGAAATAATTCGTTCATTAGAATCAAAAATACAGGTTGGTTGGCGTCCACGACGTTCAATCGTATTTTGTGCATGGTCTGGTACGGATTATGATCAATTTTCCATAAGAAAATGGTTAATGGAAAATTTTCAAACATTAAATCGTCAGGCCGTGGCTTATATTGATCTGGGTCGTGGAATAATGGGTAATTCCACGTTAAATTTACACAGTTCACCATTATTGAAAAAAGTGGCTTTAGCAGCGGCTGATAGTATCGACAGTCCCCTCACTCATAATCATACTTGTCATCATCGAAAATTAACAACTGATAGTCCGATGCCGGAAGAGCATCAACATGGAAAGAAACGTCGTCGACGACATGGTGGTGATGATGAAGAGACTGATAAATCAATGAGTATGTCAAATGATCATATGGGAATGGCGATGGGTGAAGAAAAGAAACAAGAGGAAGATTGTCCACGTCATAAATTATTTGACGAATGGTTAAGAGTAACAAAAAAGTTTCATAATAATACTGAGCCAAGAATGTATCCAATCGATAGTGAAAGTTCAGCAGCAGTATTTAATTTACAATTGGGCATTCCTTCAATTGTTATTGAAATGACTAATGATGAGGTGAGTATTAAGATGTGAAATTATTTAAGAAAGTGGTTTTGATAGACCATCTCTAATTCATTGCTAATTCATTCATATCTTCTGTGTTAACAATTAACTATGGATTAGTAATAGTATCATATTCTATATGTCCTTCATTGTAAAATGTGTTTAATTTTTGTCATTAGATGATACCTAATGATATATTTTATGTAAAAAAATCAACTGAGATTTTGATGAATGATGAAAACACGAATCAAGAGGTATGTTGATTGTTAACAAAAACATTCAAAGATTATGAAAAAAACATGATCATTCCTTGTTTTAGGTTTTAGTTGCTTATACTCGTTTTGTTGCTGAATTTGTTCGCCAATTATCCGATGAACCATTGATTCCATTTAATTTGACGGATTATGCAAATGCTCTTGATGAATCATTAGTACAATATCAAAAATATTTCAGAATTGCGCATAATCGATTGCACTCTTTTATGGGAGATTTAAGTAGGTTCTTCTAACTTTGTTTGCAGATTTGTTGAAGACATGCAGCATCAATTTATAAGCTGTAAATTGTACACAATATTTCTCTATTGTCGTTATAATTAAGTTGTAGATTGAACAAATATTTTTATCGACTGTTGTAGTGTCTCCAACTTAATAGTTTTACCATAATCATTCATTTGTTATTTTTTCAAAGATGATTTTATCAGTGTTGTGACAGAATTATCAAAATCTATACGTCAGTTACAAAATCGTATGGATAAAGCACCAAAAAATGAGTAAGTTTATCAATTGTTCGTTGCTTTCAAACTGTTGCTAATAAAAATCTTTTGGTTTAGCTATGTGTTTATTCAAAATTTAAATCAACAGTTGCTGCAGTTTGAACGATTATTTATTGATTCGACAACAAAAGTCGATATAAAAGAAAGGTAAGATATTTCGTTTTTGACAAATGCAAGAATTCACTATATTTGACAGAAATTAGAGCAATAAGCCTTGATTTACCTACGATATGTAATAAAATAAATTACATTGCTAACTTTCTTTTTGTGTAAGTATTTGGTTGTATATTTATAGGCACTTATTAATTGGTTCAGCTCACGGTCATACAAATACCGTTGTTGGTTTTCCCGGTTTGTCAAATGTTCTGTTTAATCTACCGGAAGATCCGCCTGAAGACCTTTGTGATCTGGCCAGAGTACAATTATATAGATTAAAAGATAAATTACAACAAATAACAAGAACATTATATTCAATTGATGGACTCTTTTTATAGACAAATTTCAAACAAATACTTTTGATTCTAACTCACAGAGCTTATTTACCACAAAATTTTCTCACATTCCGGTTTTATGTTTTTCCTTTTAATGCACGTTGCAAAGAATGACATTTCCGTTTCTCGTTTGTACTACCTTCGTATCATTTTCATATGTGTATTCTTGTTTTCGGTGCTAATATCTTTTACCGCACAGTATTATTTCTTATATTAATTAATTTTTTACCACACTATTTAACTGATGTCAGATTTTTTAAGTTATTATTTAATTTCACTAATCTATTTTTACTTTTCTCATCTGTCTATCTATCTGATTTTCATTCTTTATCATAACACAATACGTTATCGTGATACTTCTTTTCATATGAACTGTTTTTTTATTTATCAACACTTTTTTTTTTTAAAGCGAAGCTACACAATTGTATACAGTATTACGCGTTTCTTTATTTTATATCGTGTTTTTCTTTCTTTCTTTCTTTCTTTCTTTCTTTCTTTTGTTCGTTCGTTGCTGTATACGTAATTTTATTGCAAGCACATGAGGGTAATTATGGACAACGTTTTAAATTTCTGAAATCTATCGAGCACAATTAAGTCATTTTTACCGTAGAAAACCGGTATTACAAGGGCGGATAGATGCCCATCATTACGTCATTTAAGGTGGAGACACTTATTAAAAAATTTCAGCAAAAAGAGCTGAATGAATCTGATTAATTTCGCTTCTAACAGAAATTTTCGTTTAATTACCTAGAAATTAATCAATCTTGTAGAAAATTCTTGCTCCTGTTTTTCATACAAATTGCCTATTATTCGGAGTAGTTATATGCCACATTCAGTAAATGTCTCAACCTGTAACAAGATATTTCAAGAAATCAGATCAATTCAAGGCACCGAAGATGTTCTCAGCCAATGACCTTATAGGATCTTCAAAATAAAATATCGCGAATTCATTGTTCGACGAAGAGATATCGTTTGAACAAGTGGAACAAGTTAAATGAAAAGGATAGAACCAAGTAACCTTTCATTTTGAAGAGAAAAATGCATTCTTTATTGCTAATAACAGGTTTTTTTCTTCTCCTAGTAAGTCAGAAAAATCAATTTTTTTAATCGTCTTTCATGGTATACACATATACTCCATACATTTTTAATTTTGCTGTCATTCTAAAATAAACGTATTTATATTTCATTAGGTTGTCGTACAGTATTAGAATAATAATAAAACAGAAAAATTCATTTATTTCTAAATGATGAAGTTACAGTGTTCGAAATTTCTGAAACACCAGGGTCCTGGATCCGATTGGAAACTTTTTTAGTACAACTCACAAAGAAACATTTCCAATTCCTAAATCGCTTCTGAAATGACATTTCTCCCATTAAACAGGACTTAAAATTTTGAAAAAATTTATACTCGGTTGAGCTTTTCTCTCGAGTTTGCAACAAATATTCAGATTATTCAATAGAATGAGTTTTGATCCCAAATTCTGCCCGTAAGAGCCATTGTACTAGAAAGAGACAGGCGTTTGTCGTTTAAGCCGCTCAATCGATGTCAGAGTAGATGGCTACAATATTTACAGCGGCATTCCTAAAACTTTTTGAGGATCCCTTGCTTACTTCCAAAGTCATGAAAATTTTCGTACAAACCCTAAAAGCAGTCTAAAATGGTAACTGTAAAACTCGAAACTGTGATGTTTATATCCCGGTCTAGGAAATAGATTAGGCGTTTATATAGATGTAGAAAACCATTTCTTATAGGTAAGAAACAGATTTCTTGTAGGCGACAGACACATTTCTAGAGCACGAAGATGAAAAATCGTTTCTTGCACAAGAACTTTTATTAAGAGTCTTCTTTTGTTGATTTATCAAATACTTTTCTAACGTTTTAAGACTATGTTTTTGGTCGAAAGCAAGACAAAATCAATGGGTGATGAGAGGGTACCCCCATTCAGTAAAAACCGATTTACTCCATGAAAATACAACTATTTTTAACTTTAAAGCTAATATTCGTGATCAGCATGAAAATCTGTTCCAAAATCCTGTTTGAAATCCTGTGATCCTCTTCCCAAAGGTGTCAACCTCGTATCAAAATTTCGAGAAAGTAAGGCGTAGAAGCTGTTTCTAGTAACCTCCTGACACGTTTCTGATAGAAAAAAGTCAAAAATGGGGCCGGAGTGCAATTTTTCTAGCTTAATCGCTCATGTCCTTTCTAACATCATTCAAAATTGGATTCTCGTAGCATGGACTATTATTTAGTATAGATCTTCGTCTTACTCTTTCACTCAAAACGTTTAGCTCTATGGAACAATTTTTCATCCAAAATATGGGTGAAAAGAAATGTTTATCCAATATAGAATAACGATTCTGTTGATAGTAGATCAGAGAATCCTCAGTATCAATTACAATTGTATATGATTTGTGTAACAGTAAACGTTTTGATAGTTGAGAATAATAAATTTTATATGATGAACTAAATTTAATATCCGTTAATATACTTTGTACAACTTCAACATCTCATCTCTGAGTCATATGAATATGTTACCACTACGAGGACATTTTTTTATAACGATGCTATAAAGAGAACTATGACGAAATCGTGCATTATTATTGGCATACCTCTGATTAGTAAGTAACATCTGAAATTTTTTTTCAATGATAAAAATAAATATAACTTTTAAAGGATCGTCATATATCGATAATCTCTAAAAGTTAGAACATTTTGCTATATACTACAACGTTCTTGTCTTTCGATATATTTCTAAATAAACAAATTATAACTCTTTAATCAATAGTCACAGTGGTAACGACCAGTTGCAACTATAAACAAGAACAACCGAGTTACATACTTTTAAATAAAAAATTATAAATATAAAAATTATAACCAAATTTGTAATTGTTTTTTATCATATGTGGCATTTAAATTTGTTGTATTATTTTTAAGAATATCAATATTTGTTCGTAGCCAATAATTAAGTTGATTATATTCTAAAAATGTAAAATGTAAATTTTTTGTACACATCATTTTAAAACTAATTAAATTTTTGTTACTATTCATAAAATAGTTTAATAATTGATTTAAAATAAATTCTTGTTTATGTTTCATTGCTTTTCTACTTGATTTCAATTGAAATTCTAAATGTTGAAGAGTTGTAAATACATTTGAAATTAAAAAAAAATCAATAATTTTTAATTGACCATCACCACCATGTACAAATATTTCTAATTGAGTAATATTTTGACTTAATGAATAACCTAAATGTTCATTATTTTTATTTTTAGGTAATTGTTTTGTAATATATACAAGTTCAGCATAATAAATTGATAAACATTGTAAACGAGAAGATGCATGAAATAAATTAGATAAAAAAATCATATTTGTTTTATTTTTTGATGAACGAGCTAAACGTAAACGATTTAATTTTTTTAATTTAACTAATTTATGTTCAATCAATTCATCTTGTTCAATATTTAGTTGAAGTAATGATAATTTTCTTATCAATGGATATTGATTAATAATGTGAAAACAGTTTGACATTGATACAGCTCTATCTTGACCAGCAATATGTAACCAATCAACATGATATCGATCGATTATTGACATTGATGATGTTGATTTTTGTTCATACATTCTTACAGACGTTTCTAGCCAATATTCATCTGGTAAATCATACGGTAGTATATCTAAATAAAATTGACTTACATCAATATAACCCAATGCATACCAGTGTCTGTCTATTAACCAAAAATCTGTTGAAAATGTTTTTATAACATTAAAAAGTTCTAAATATTGATTTGATAAACGTACGATTAAAAAAAATTTTTTAATTTTAGGTGAACTCGATAGAAGATGTTCCCATTTTTGACCATCAACATAATTTTGATCATTAGTATGAACTTCAACCGATAAACATTCTAGTGTAGGTATATTATATGTTAGAAGATCGAGAACATCAAAAGGTAAAACATTACCATCAAATGATTCAAAATGAAATTCAACAAGATGTGTTGGTAAATTTAATGATCCAATCCATTTTGATGGTGAATAATGATCAATATTTACACTTAATCGTTTTAAATTTGGTAATAATCGAAATATCATAAATAAATCATCAAGTGTTTTTAACATTATATTTAAATCTGTAATACGATGATTTGGATGTAATTGATCAGATATATTCATTCCATTTGCACATAATATTTTTATTTTTTCTAATTGATTTTGACAATTAAAAACATAATAATCAATTAAAAACATTGTTATATTTGTCATTGGTACAATTTCATCACTCACATGTACATATAATTCCCATAAATTTTTTAATTGATATAATTGTGAAAGAATATTAATCATACCATCATTAACATTACAATATCTTAATTTTAAACATTCTAAATTTGAAAATTGTTGACATATATCATTAAATAATAACATTTGATTTGGTGTACGTTCATCACTCATTGTTAACATATGAACATAATGTGAAATAACGGGAAATAATTGTTTTGAATAATAAATCATTTTAGATAATGATATACCTGTTATGGATAAATCAATATGATATTTATATTCATTTATACTACGATCAAATCGATGATTAAGTCCAGAAAATGAATAGAGAACATCTAATGGATTTAAATATAAATAAAGTTCTAATAATAATTCATCAGGTAACACTTCTAATGTTAACGTCATCAGTAAAAATCGACTACTACTACTCCATTTTCTTGTATTTTTAGTATTGATGATTTACTACAAGACTCTGATTCGGACTTTGATGATGATAATGAAAATACAAANAAAAAAATCGCGATAACCAAGAACACCACAAACAACAAAAAAAACAAAAGAACTTATGTATTAGTTAAGCAAGGGTATTAGACCATACATCTCTTACTTCCTTCTGTTATGTTTGTTTCGTCCTCTGTTGTACAGTTCTATGATACGACTCGTTTTTCTTTTTTTCTTTTTTTTTCCCTACATACAACACGACAAGGTTATAGGTTTCTTTTTCTCATAGATAAAAAAATTCAGTTGTTTATCTCATATGTTTTTATGAAAACTCATGTAAAGGATTCGTATGATCTCGAACTCTATTTCCAAAAAAAAAAGAGAAAAAGGAAATATTTATTATTTAATTTACACACAAAAAAAGAAAAGAAAATATTTTAGAATTTTTTTTTTTTAATCCAAACAGCTGTTATTGTGTGAAAAATGC